AATTGAAGTCATGATCGTGATCTAGACGGTGTCTACTCACAACCGATAAATTATTTTCATGTTTCTTAATGTCCTTGCAGTGTTCGTCAATTCTTGTTCGGAGGTGTCTTTTTGTTTGTCCTATGTAGCATGCATCACAGTTATTGCAATCTATCTCATATACTACTTCAAAATGCAATAATGAGACAAATCAACCGGTTTAAAGAAAATACAATTTTGTAACACGTAATAAAAAATTTTTTTTACCTATTGTGTTTTCTTTACACCGGTTGATTTGTTTCATTATTCTGTTCAAGAAAGTATTAAGGTAAGATGATAAAAAAATGAATATTTTACAAGATATTTTGTAATTTATGTCAAAATATTGGAACTTTCAAACCTTAATAACTCAAAAAGTTCTTAATAAAGAAATACTTTATTAGAACGTTTTGGAAAGCTCTCGAGGTCAGCTACAAAAATATGTTATAAAAAATAAGGTTGCCATTAAAAAAAAATGGTGTTATCTTTATGTGACCTTCAAATAATTCTTCAAGGTCAAACCAATGGTACCATCTTATGTCCCCCTCGAAAGCATACAACTTTTGTCTGAAACATTTTTGTCTGCTGGGCTCAGTTTTCGAGTTATTCTGCTGTTCCGGTACTTTTACAACACCCTGTATTATATATTTTTCCTTGAAAGTCATTATTAAATCTACACGTGTATTATTTTTGGCTCTTTGTACAATAGTACACAAATACATTTACATACTCAATCACACTGGAAGCTGCTTCAATTTTGGAAAACCTAATATAAATACCTAAATAAATCGAATTTGAATAAGAGCCACACATTTTCTTTGGTGCTGCTCTACTTTTATCCACGTGTCTTATACTAACGTACCTTAATATCGTTAGCAATGCGAATCCACTCATCCATGGTCATATTACTGGAGTCACAGAGATTCGAGTACTCGTATACGCTGTAAACGACCCGACGATTGTCGGTTGCGGTCACGCTGCAAGATTAGAAGAAAAGCACTCTTAACATTGCGCAAGGGAAAGCAAAAGGGTACGCGGGAAACCGGTTCACATTCTTCCGTGAATTAGGTGGAAGCACTGATTATTTTTATGTGTTTTCCTGCAAGAGATAATCGAATGGAGAAAAACTGACATAGGAGAATTTCTAATTTTTGAGAATAGACAGATTTTAATAATTGTTAAAGTTTCCTTTGTAAAATATTCACGCTACTTAATTACGTATCTTTTACGATAAATCGATTGTCCTTACCATAAAAAGTGCTATATTTAATGTTAAATAATTGAAAACATTCTAACAAGGATTGAAGTTTTAGGAAATAGAGTTCGAATGATTTATTTATAATATCTCCAAGAAAACTTTAGTTGGCAAAATGAATTTGTGGAAATCGTTACTTTATTATTTCTATATCGAAATTTGTTATTGTGTTTACAAGTAATATCAAATTTTGATTACTTACGGTAGTACTAGCGGCCCCATCGCGCCAAATCTTTTCTCGGCGTACTCGCGATCATGCAACTGTGGATATTTTCGTAGATTTTTGACGAATGCATTGGCTATCGGTACCAGCACTAGGATGGGACAGATATGTCTTGTTATTGTTCGCAAAATGCGGTAAAGGTGAAGATAATCATGACGTCATAATATTATTTTATACTAAAATCTATTCGTCATCACATTTGGAGCTTTGTGTTATAGTTTGTGTTATGTTCATAGCTTTTCTTAAATTTACATTCAAAACGCGATTTTGTGCACGAGGATAAAATCCAAGATCTATAACGAACCGTTTGAACCTTTTGTCGGATCTCTGTAGAGATCCGCGCAATAAATAATATTTAAGCTTAAGATGTAAACATGCGCTATAAATGTTCTTTGAATGAAACAAAGGACATTGCAAGTATATGTAGAAGTTCACAGAACGCGAGTTAAATCAAGAGAAGAAAAAAGAGAAAATTAGGAATGTATAATATAAAAAATCAATAAAATTCATATGACTCAAATGTAATAAACACAAATTTAAAGGAATAAAGGACCGTAGAACTAAGAACCGTAACAGGGTGATAGTGTCTAAACATTTTTATTCTAAATTTATTGCGAAAAAATATCACCTCAGCCAAGGGTTTGAACCTGGATCTTCCTTTCACTAGGCGGGCGTCTCAACCAATTCGACCACCGAGGCATATGGCAATATTCATCGCAATAAACAGTTTAATGTTGATTCCCGAATGCCACCTATTGTGACAGTATTCGTGTATAAAATGTATAAATATCTCAAAGACTTCCCGTGGAATCGGCCGAAGTTCTTTGGAGTCTCGTAAGAAACGAAGATTCTTCAAGAACACGAGGCTTATGTTTGACACTTGCGCGGCACATTTCGTGCGCGCAAGATTTTGCATTCTTGAAAACACTCCACGCGATGATCTCTTAAATTGCACAAAGTAATTACCTCCTTGCTCATTCCTCATCATTCCTATCGTGC